AAAAATCACCTAACATCGTGCATAAAAGGCAATAGTTACACACCGCTTTAACGCACGTTATATTATAGTACATCGACGTTCGCGTATTATACGATGATCGTTGATCGATCTCGTACATTTTCGGTCTTGGAATACGACTACATTCGTTTACCGTAACATATAAATGCAACGTGTTCTCGAAATCGGTATGATACGAGATCGGATGCAATTGAATTTTCTTTGAAAATAATAATAATAACGTTTATATAAAATTGCTGATAAAAAATAAATTTGTTTTACGCAGAGTTTCGTTTCACATAAGGAAATTCATTTTAATATTCTCCTACGTCTTTACAGATTAGTTTCGAAAAGTATACCTACTTAGCCACTTCAATCAAAACGGATGTTTTGAAACTTGATTCCACGACTGCATCCTAACAATATTGCTCTACGGAAAATTGTTTTAAACGAGAAATAAAACGAAGTATTAATTATGCACGAGCTTATTTCTAAGAATAAATTTCGATGGCTGTTGACGGAATAACGGGAAAAAAAACATTACGTTTTATTTTACAGACAACCCAATAATCCGTTTATAACGTTTTCGAGACACAACGAAGTTATTGTCGATATTATTGTACACCAAGCCGTAAACTTTTCTGCGAGAACTTTCAAATGGAATTCATGAGTATGTATGCTACAAATCTAATACAAAAGTTGTCTCGTGCATAACAACTCGTATCAACTCACATTTTATGCAAATTCAATACAAATTATAATATTGTTTTCTGACTTGGCGTTTCACGAAAAAAATTATGATAATAATAAAAGTAATGTATAAAATAAATATAATGGATATGGAGATTCAGATTTGATATATTCATATGTGCTTTTGATTTTATATTGTGATCTTTATAGAATATACCATGTACTATACGAATAGTACATGCAGATTCTGCTTAAAAAATCTGCCAAAAACTCCGTGCCTGCATACAGCAAACACAACCCGATAATCAACGAGATTTACATAATTCTTATTGTTTGTTAACTTGTTTCGTGAGCAGTCTGAAGTAGTAGCCAAAGTCGTGTGTTTATCGATATCTGTCTAATTGTTTAAAACCAATTATATTATGGGCGGCTGATACCGGATTTCGTGCAGGGCAAAAGCCGGAGTCTGAATTCCGTCCCGTGTACCCTACTACTATAACGATGCTAGTAACTATCAAGCAGTGCCACTCGTGTAATGAGTGTGGTGTAAATTAATAAAATACAGAGATGGAAACTTCCATTACTGTAAAATTCCATATCTGCAAATACGACGTTATCAAATTTATAAGTAATTTATGGGGTCATTATCGCCGGGACGCGGTACCGCAAAAACCTTGTGTATTGATTATTATTGTACAACTCCGGATAGCCGATTTCACATCACTTACTTTTAATAATTATGCTATCGGTTTTAATTGTATGTTTTTAAATATCTAAAGCTTTTCGTTAAATCTCTGTAATACAAGACGATTTTGAACATAAAGTTGGTTGAAAGTTCATAAAAAAAAATATGAAAAAAAAAAATTCGTGGGGGGTCACCATTTAAGGAAAAAAGTTACACCACGCATGCATGAGCGTGTTGTACAAATTCGAGTTTATAGACCGTAAAAACGTGTATTATTAAGTATAACATCCGTCTAAAAAAACGGAATCTAAATCGCATTGCCCTGCGCAAAAATATTGAGTGTATCCAATTAGCATTTCTGCGCTGTACACATAACAACACATAACAATAAAATTTCAATAAATATAAAAGCAATATAAAATTAATCGTGGAAAAGGCCCAAAATGATTATCGTACCCTCTGCACCACCGCTGGGACGGAATCCGGTCCTAGCTGCTCCGCCCCCGGGACGGAATTCAGAAATTTTCAACATACCGGCATGGAATTCGGTTTCTGCCTTATAGGCGCATAAAATTCTTTATATTTCACTGCAGTCACTCCACTCCTACGTCCATGTTTATTGAACCGTACGGTTAGGTTAGTAACGTGAACCCGTGCTCCGGACTGATCGCATACCGGATCCCGGTCAATTATAGCCGTATAGGGGAAAAAAAATAAATCGTGCAGTGCAGTCCATGGACTAGAGTGAAATATAAGCAAATGCCGATCTCTATCGACCTACAGGAATAACAAGAGATTTTAATTTTTAACGATAAACTTTTATTAAATACATCAATTATATATTTAATCACTTTTATTTTCATTTTTAATTTACAGCAACTGCACGCGGAATAAAATGCAATATCGCTGTTAAATGTAAAATTAATAAACCGACTTCCTAGAAACTAATCGTTACTTATTTGTACATGTACAAAAATTTAACGCTATTTTTTCGACAGAAACCCGCAATTCATTTACAACGATTTAAAAACAAATTTCAAAAAATTAAAACACCTAAGTGCATTTCATACGGAAATGTTTACAACAAATATTCATCCGTTATTAAGCGCCATGAGTTTGTATAGTACATAATTTTGGTTTTGAAAAAATAAATAAAATACATTATGATGCTGTATATGTTATACTGTGTTCAGATACTTACTTACTAATAATTACAAAAACTGTTATTCGTATATTCATAAAACATCCATTAACTCGTATATAAGTGCGTATTGCATCAAAAGTACAAATTTATTTTGTTTCATATTTTTTTCGTTGCAATTTCACTCCAAACGTAGTTGTAGTCAAGCATAAATATTTTATCAAATATTTTATTGGTTTGCATAAAGGAACAAGTCTGATATTGTACACGATAATTTATTTTTTTAATAAAATGCCGTTACTATTTCGTACATTATAAATATGAAATTTAATAGGTATAGAATAAGTAGAAAACATTACTTATTATCTCCTACTTAAAAAAACGCTTTCTTCGTTGTTTAAATCTTATAAGTATTCGTCCACAAATTATTTCTACGATCGTCTATCGAATCATTAAAATAATAATCAAATTTCATGTGTATTCTATCTGCAGTAGAAATAAAGAAAGGTTTCAATTTATATAACATCAAATATTATAAATTTACGAGTAATAGCTTCAACAATTGTCATATGTTTTATCGATTGATTAAAAATTTATTTATTTAAAACTACATATTATTTCTTTGGAAATTAATTCAACAGCATATATGTTATAATTGTATAATACGAGTATAATAAGACAATATTATATAACAATAACAAGACACTGAAGATGTAGGATATGACGAACTCGAATAATGCATATTTATAAGCAACACAGATCAGCCGTCTAATAACGATTATCAAAATTTCAAATGATAGCCATGCTAATACCTATCCTAACCTGCAACACATGCATTTTATATTTACTATCACGTGAAGTAAATTAGTTATTATATTGAATGACAATAAAACTATATTTTAAACGGAATACCTTGATTGACTCATTACATCTACAAAGTATAATTATATGCTAGACTCTCACTATAAGTCACGACGATTTTGTTTATAATTTGGTACATTAAAAAATTAACATAATGAAATTGTTCGTATTATTACTTTCGCAAAAATTTTAATGTCGTATAAATTGGAACGTTAAGTTATATTATACTATGCTAAAACAGGAAATATTAATAAGGAGTTAGTGCTTGAATACGTTTACTGTATTATTTAAACTTTAGAATACAACCGTAGTTATATATTGAACGTGATTCAAACTATGTTTAAGCCTCTTTTAAATATTCGAATTCCGAACACTATAAAACTGTAAATGTCCTTGAGAACCTTTTAAGTTGTTACATTGAAATAATATGCAAGTTTTCTTATACCTTCGATGTAAAATGGCATATTAATAATTTTAGTTAGTTACCTTCTAAATATTTGATTAAATAATATTACCTTGTTAATTTCGAAACAGAAGTTTAAAATGTTGGAATATTATTCAATAAGATAATATTAATGTTATTATTTAGTGCAAGCTTAATTCGAATTTTAATATTTTCAACCATTATACCATACGTGTTTCTTAAAACCCGTAAAAATTACTAGCGGTCGAATTACTTTTAGTCATAAACTCTTTTGAATCTTTTTACCCTACTCGAAACGCAATAGTTTTCATATCCTCTGTTATCCAATTAATTTCACAAATTATTTTTTTTCGACCATCACCATGCGGAGAATCTTTTTTTATGAAACATATATAAACATCCTTGATATTATCTTGTGTCGAGGTCCAGTTGTGACGCTGATGGTTCTCCAACAAACCTTTAAAATAGTTATAAATTATTATATTGCAAACTGGACTTCTCGGAAACCCTTCTTCAACTAATATATGCGCAAAGCTGCTGTTTTTTTACTTTAACCAAGTATGCTATATTATGTAACGTATCAATAATATATGCTATATATTTTTAATACTCTTGTAAATATCAAATTATGTATGAATCTAATTGAATACCATAATACGTTTGAAATCACACAAAACAGATCATAAGTTCAATTTGAATTATTTGTTTTTTTTTTTTTTTTTTTATGTATATAATTAGTATAATAATCATTCGTGTCTCACTGAACGAAAAGAAAGTGGTTCGAATTCGGTTAGGTCCGTCACCACATTTTAAAGTTAAGTTGGCTCGCACCGATTAAAAGTTTGGGAGTCCATCTTGCGCAGTATTATTCATGCGTGTTCCATTATGTATATTTATGCGTATTATAACAGGTTTTACCCGGTGGTGTATTTTCGAATTTTTTGTGGGAGATTTATAATTTCTCAAAAAAAAAAAAATTAATGATCTTACAAAACTATAAAATATACATGGAAGATATGAATTGATAGTTATATTACCATACAAATATTAATGAACAAACGTTACAACCGCACGACATAAATTAATGTTCTCTCTCTTTCTCTTTCTCAGTAATTTTAAACCTATATTTTCCTTCTAGAAGAGCGGGTCGTAACCGGGACCGATATTGTTATTGTTGGTAAAACGTTGGTGTGATGTTTCAGGTGATCAGCTACGACTCGGTTCGAGGCGGCGTGAGCGTGGTAACCGAGAAAGGTGACGTGACGGTCAGTTATCTACTCATACAAGACGCGGTGCAAGCGGACTCAGGAAAATACTCGTGCAACCCGTCGAACGCGGACGTATCCAGCGTGGTCGTGCACGTCCTAAACGGTGAGCTATCGGAATAATTTACTCGTCGGCGACGAATGATTTCGCGATGGCAACAAATTAAAATATTGTTTAACTGTCGTGCAATAACGTTGTCGTGCAATAACGTTGTCGTGCAACGTTTTACGACTACAGCGTCGACGAAATAACAGCAATAACAATAGTGCGGATCGGTTAGTTCGTGTCATTATCGAGCAATAATCATCGAAATCGGTCAGTGCTGGTCCGTTTTTCACGGCCAATGTTTCCGAATAAACGCTCTCTGTTCTTCGTAATTTTGTGCACGACAGATCGCCACGTGGGCGTCAAAAAAGCATCAAAATCGGTTTTGCACACTTAAAAAAACGTGTAACGTACGAAAACATTAAAACCACGAAGCATTACGGTGCGGATTAACGAGCATCCGAAAAATGTACTTGCCGATAAACTAAATTTCCTTGAAATCCCGACTGGATTAAACCAGGTTTATAGATTGCCGTTTTGCGTTCCGAATTCTTTTGGCTTTTCGGATCGTCGTCAAACAGAATGAGCTCGGTTAGTTAGTAAGCTATTGCTTATTTTCGTGGTTAAATTTTTCGAGTATAATCGAATTTCCCGTCCTCGAATCCGCACTCCCGGGCCTCGCGTACTGACCGCGCTACCGTAAGCGAGTCCAAGACACGCATACCAAACGTCATTCGTAACCGGACCCTTACCGTTGGTTACAAAACATTCTATAACCAATACCTTTCCTTAAAATATTAAATGAATCCTCCTTGTTTTTTTTTTTTTTATTTTCTTAAGAACAACTGTGAAGCGTACAAAATTGTCTCACCAATTAAAATTACTGGTTAAAGTGTACTTGGGTAACTGTCAAATTTATGGTTCTCCGTTAAAATCTTTTCATTTTTTAACTTTTCTCGTTCTAGAGAACAATACGATACAATAAACAATATATAATTCTGGTGTACACGATAAATATTATGTAAATATTTTATTTACGGGATGTGTGTATATTTCTTTTTCCCCGCAGGCGAAAGTCCAGCTGCCATGCAGACCGGTTCGGCCGGCTTGTCCAACAGTTCCATCACGATACTGTGCGTGATGATCCTGAGCTGGACGTTCACTCGGACCGACGATCAGCTGAGATAATAAACGCGTCCATCGTTCCTGTCCAAAAACGATTATTATTATTTTATACACGACACGCGTGTGTACTGTGCACCGTTGCACGTTCTAACATTAAAACCTAAGGAAAAAATAATTAAAATTAAAATTAAAATAAAAAAACCGAAAAACTCGTGCGGGCTCGAACAAACGCGTGCCTGCATTACGCAATGATATTCGTCACTCGCATATTATAACTAACTATGTACCATATGCCTAGTTCGTGTGGACCGTTGACGCGATGATGAAAAATATTTTATAATTTACCTTAATATAATATATTATTATATCACTCGTGCCGCGTTCTCGGCATACTACATACGTGTGTTTTTAGCAATTATTGTGAACGCATAAAAATTTATATTATTACAGTTATATATATATATAGTATATTGTACAGAAATTTTTTCCACGCCTAAGGGCGGTTTGTTCCGATCGGCTTACACGTCCGCATCGTTGAACATCATTTTTTCATCGGTGGTTGAAGTAAATGGACCCATCGTTTTTTCCGTAACTTTTCTACAAAAATATTTTACATTGTTTACTCGAATGTACGAGAGTATGTTATAATATATTTTATGTTAACCAACGTTGTGTACCGTTTACCTGTACTGCTGCTTGTACACCTATATCGTCATTTGTCGCCGCCACCGCAGCCGCCTGTTCAACGCTAATTGATGTAGTGATAATAATTGTTCGGGCATAATCGGACATTTCGCGTGTTCGTTTAACATTTTTTTTTTTTTTTTTAAAGTTTACTGTCGAATTAAGTCCGAACACGCGAGAATTGTCGGATGGTCCGGAAAAAAAAAAAAAATAATAAAATAGCAATGTACGTATACCACCGAAATGAATTATCTGTTGGGTACCGTCGGGTACGACGCGCACTGCTTGCATGTAACACATCGTCGCTCGATAGCCGTCAACCCCGATAACATGCGGTGTTGCGAAGAAAACTTTGACATTACGTCGGGGGGAGGAAAAAAATACGCCGTTCATGTGCAATAATTTTAGTCGACATGTTTGCGTTACACTCGAATGCTTACAACGGGGAGAAAAATTATAAAACCGTTACTGTTGATATTCTCTGTTATTCGTACAACAATATAACTCGTCGAACAGGTATTTTCGTAATTGAATAATAATATCGTGCCGTATCCACTTCAACGGAAACGCCAAAACCTTTTTCCGTGAGACAAAATCGTTACCCGAAACGAAAACGAACCGCGCGAGTAAAAGAAAATCGCAATCGACGATCGCCTACAAAGTTATAAAACATTTCGCAGCCGGCGGTCGGACAACAACGTACATTTGTCACGGCAAGAACGTCGCGAACGACGTTGTCGACATCTTTGAGCAAAAACACGTAGTTGTTGCCAGGCCTGCCGAGAAAGGATGATCGGGTCCGGAAATTAGGGACTACAAATTATTAAAAATTAAACACAATATAATGATAAGAATTTCACGAACGATGCGAAAAAAATTAAGATTTACCTTAAGATATACCCCCCGGGACCGGGTTTCACTCTCCGCGGTCGTTGCACGCGTACACTCCACGCGGGGGCCGATGATTGACGAGCAGCATTGGCGCGTCGTTTACCATCGAACATTTTGCGTTCCGGCCGGAATTTCGGATTTTTCACCGCAATATTTAACCGCACGCAAACTTTGTCGTAATAATAATAATAATAACAACAACACTGTACACGCGGACAATGGCAATTACGGACGGTGCGGGTGTCCACATACAAATTACGTTACGCTCGGGACATTATTATGCGCACGCTTCTGCTGCAGAGCATAGCTGCGGCGGCGGCGGCGTAGGACGATAGAAATTAACCATTCGTAACGGTTCGAAACCGATAAATTAACAATAACGTACAGAAATTGCGAAACGTTATACTTTTTGCGAGCTATAAATATATAATACCCCGTACGCCCGGTTGTCCTGCGAATAATGTGACGTTGCAGGCTTCAAACGACCGTTGTGCGTTGTAATGATAACAATATTATTATTCCGTTCACGATCTATTGAGTGTAGAAAAATCCGTTTCCGATAATTTACGAGTACCTACTTTACACGGACAGAAATCGACGGAGGCCGAACGTCAACAACCTTTTCGTAAAAAAGAACCATTTTTCCTTTTTTAACCGTTGAATACATATGATATTTTAATATAATTAATATAAATAATTTAATATAATATATATATATATGTATCATGATGTTCAAAGAAAACCGCACTAGTTTGACTAACTTTTATTTTATTTTTTTCTAGTCGTCCATACGGCGCAAAGAAAAAAAACATCGATTTTGAAATATGTGTGTCCTGAAAATCCCAATTATTGTCGATTCCCGATAATTTGTACAGACTCTCTATTATAAATCGACTGTTAACCGACGTAACGTTATCGTTTTCATTTTAAAACAACAAAGCAATTTTTTTTTTTTTTCATCCCAATGTACTACAATTTTAAACCGTGGCCATTTGAAATAATGATAAACTGTACCTAATAATCTTGAACTGTTTCATATTTTTATTCCGCGTTCAATCCCTCGTATTATTTTATTACTGAGCATGTGGTAGTTTAAGTAGAAAATTGAAAAACATGAATTATTTATGATTATTATTATTATTTTATACAGAATATTCCTTGGATGGTGTAGACCACGTCCACTAGTATCTACATACATTCTAGTTCAATGCGTTACACAACTTGTACACCGTTCGAATAAAATGACACCGGTCATTGTTTGAACACCCGTATTATATTTGCTGAAAACTAGATACTTGTATCCCATAGCATTGAATATTAACCGGGTGCAATATTTTTTTCTGACCTTTTAGATTCCTCGGAAAATCTACTGAACTATTATTGCACTGGAACAAAGAACCATTTCAAATTGAATAACTTTACGTGCTCGGAGAATAAAAAAAACAACCTCATTTAAGTGGCGTACCGTACCTACCGTTATTTCGTTACGTTTTAAAAAAAAAAATCGGCGCCTCTAAACGCCGAAATAATAATAAGGTTTTGCGAAAATTAATGCGAAAAATATCATACGGTAAAAAACCCGAAATAAAAAAATTAAACCGTACACAATGTACGCGTATACGCTGTCAAATCGAGCAAGTTAAACCGACCACAACGCCGCGCAGATAAATAAAAGTATACAATCGATTAAAACCCCATTAACAAACACTCTCGGTGCCCCTAATGAACATTTTCATTTACCAATTGTTTACAATAAAATATTATTATTATCAATATAGTCGAGGTGATTTACGATCGGTGTGCGATTCAAAGATCTGTACGTACACTGGCTGTATCTATACGGTTTACAAAGATAAAACAAAATAATATCGAAACGAGTAAGACAAAACTTCTTTCTTACATTACGAATCAATTACAGTTAAAAAAAAAATCGGAATCACTACAATGACCCGACAACCATCGTGCAAACAGACTAAATGGACTGAAGGCCGATTAAAAAATTAAAAATTAATTGAAGATTTGAGGTAAAAAATTTAAAACGATTAAAACTTAAAATAATAAAAAAACATTTATAATTCAAAATATCTCATCAATTTATAGTTGTACGCTAAAAGCAGTCACATAAGGCACAAAAGCTTAAACTTTTGAAATTTGTCCATCGTTAACCTTGTGTTATCGATATTCGTATCGTTTGCCGAGATGTACAGCGAACTGCGCGGATATCAGAACATAATTAATAAATAATCGAAATGATGAAAACGATTTTTTTTATACCGACCCTTCGACCCTTCCCGGAAAAATCACCTACACATTTCAACGGCAGGTTTCGTTCATATTTGTTTTTTCTCTCTTTTCCGTTAACATCCCAGAGATTGGTTAACGGGGTTCTATCAATCTTTATTGTCATCGCGTAGCGCTCCGTACCGACTGACGAGTTATATACGAGTATTATAAATGAAATGAAATTCGCTATCATTGCCGTAGGGCGTTCGAGTGCTTACTCGTGTTGTACACTGGCTATATTAAATTATAGTGTCGTTTTGCGAAATACCAATAAGGTGAAAGTACTCGTCTACTTAACGAAGCAAAAGCTATTCGAATTACAGGATCTCGTCAAGAGCGCCTACCGAAATCGGCCATTCCCCCCGCGTCGTGCGGTGTAAACAGACACTTCTGCAACTGCTCTTCGATGTTCCGGCGACCAGTTTGAATTCGAAATCCGTGTACAACGACGTGTGACCGCATTACCATTGTGTTATTATTACCACGTACAAATATCGTTTCAACGTTTCAAAACGGTATACGTGTTCGTGTACCGCTGTCCAACCGAGTCGGATGCCCATCCGTTTGTGTTGAACCTCGCAAAGACGATACCGATTTAAATTAACTCGCAATGAAATAGCAGTCACTCGAACCGCACTATTGCCTTTACAACCTTCCCCCAAAACCGTTTCACGAATGAGCACCCGGCCGCCTTTTACGTCAAACCAATCCGCGCACGGAATCGTATCGTTTTCGGAACTCAGGTGGTGGTTTTCCACGCCGTACGGCGAGTGCCGTTAATCAATGTTTGCTAATTCCTTTGTGGTACTCGTTTCGCAATCATTCGCCCATCGAACTCGATTCGTCCTTCAGTCCCGCCAACGATTCCGAAAGAAATCTCCGGCTAGTCGACGTGGAGTCACGAAATCATATAATAACTGTGTGATAAATTGTACCCTCTCGTAAACGATTCGTTGAGCATCGAAACATTGTACGTTCCAACGTTTTCCGGTTAACATCAACAAAAAAAATGTCAGAGAAGTTGGAAAAATTACTAATTTATTATATCGGTCGACCAGTAGCAACCCTCTCCATATGATTGTTAGAAGATATTTCAAAGAGGTACGAATCACCTATTTAATTCAGATTTTATTCCAATCGGAACGTAAAGATTAACCGAGTTACAAAAAATTACCCCTGTTTTTGGTGACATCATTGCAGTAGATTAGTCTACTGTTTGTAAAATTATACGTTTATATACGATAAAATGGTAGGACACTAAATTTGCATAAAACGTTATGTATCCGCGAAACGTTTGCTGGCGACCCGATTTACACCACCTAAGTGTGCGCGCAAAAGATTATAGCAAAATAATAATAATGTTATGATTTCACTGTCGACAAAGATCGCGTAATAAATTATCCCGCTTGTTTGTACACGATTTTTGTTGTTTTTTTCCTTTCGTTTTCTGTTAACCGTATTTACCCTTTTCGAGTATTCTTCGTCGTTAATTTAATTCGCAATGTCTGTCTGTATACATAACACTAATCTAGTTTATGAAAAGAAAAAAACTAATAAAAAAAAAATATATACACATAAATGTAGATACCTCCACATATATATATATATATTATAAAATATTATGTCGTTTTTTTTATTTAGAGTATTTTTTTCATATCACATTTACATTACAATTACATTTTTTCCCCTTCTCGATTGTAAGTCTCAGATGAAAATCAAAAATTACATTCAAGTGAACTTGCTTGGATACCGCACAAAAACGGGTTGTGACATAAGATAAGATAACTTTACACCAAAGAAACTCGTCTGACCGTTTTCTTATCTATTAATACTCACTACGGAGCCCAACACAAACTGTCATGTCGGAATGCGAGTTTGAATAAATTAATAGTTTCGGCATAAATATCAAAAATAACCGAACAAAATTTCATTACTCATGTTTTTCTTAATCCGTAGGCGGCTATAACATTTCACACAATATTCGAGTTTTTTTTCTTAACAAGAACAGCGTGCTGAAACTAAAACTGTAGCCCTCAG